GGGTGGGGGCGGGGGGGTTTGAAGGAAGAGTTAAGGGGGAGTGAAAAGGGGTGAAGGAAGGAAGAGATTTATGTGGTGAAGCGTGAAGACAGGGAAACAGTGATTCTTTTTTTAATCAAAGTGGCATTTTTTAATTCAAACTGTTACATATGCAGTTAGTAAAACCAAATTATTRTAATTCAGTAATCTCATAAGACACAAAAAGTTAGTATCTTCCTGTGCTGGAGCTGTTGAAGACTTGTTGGTGACTCAAACTTGGATCATTTGTGATCAGCCAGCCGTGCAGTTTTTAATAATCATGTTTTATTTTTGTGCGCACTGCTTGCAAAGCTGTACTCTGGATCAATCACATTATTTCACCACCCATTTTGACTCACTTTGTACCCCACCTTGGCAGTTCTCGTATGATTCAGTTTACTGGAGTACACTTTGAAGTGAAAAGTCCTAATTTTTAGACTTTGAAATGCTCCCAGAAAGGTGTCAAATAAATGCAGCTTTTGAAACAGGCTGGATCTACCCGGGACAAAACTGAGAAGAGTTTTAGATCCCTGCAACAACTGACTGTTTTGAGAGAAATTCAAGCAACAAAACTGCACGACTCTACTCCAGGGAGGAAACTGAAACCCCCTGTGAGACATTATGGAGACCAATGATGTTTACCAACCAGTGCCCAGCAGTCACAGCCCAGTGAGATAATCCCACAGTATGCCAATGACTTACATACGTTTTTATTATTAAAATGTCAAAACAAAGCAATACATTGATGATGTGTATTGGTAAAAAAAAAATACACTTGTGGTCAGAGCTGACTTCACTTTTGAGCACAATTTGTTCATTTTTAATTTAGCTGGAAAACAATTAAGATAAGTTCGTAAGGTGCAAAAAATTTGAGAAGTAAAGTTATTACTAATATAAAACCCATCAGTTTTAGCTTATTATGATATACTAATACATTTACCTGTTTTACTAATTAAATAAAATAGAATAAAGTAAATAATAATCTGAACTGTGATCCTTACACTGCCAAAAATGTCCACCTAACCAAGTTTTAAAACCTCATATCAGCTAAAAAGTCTTTTTGATCTTGTTTTGAGACTGATTTACTAAACAGGAACTGATTGCGTAAGAATAATAATCTTGTTTTCAGAATGTGTAAGATTTGTCTTGTGAGTTTGAAAATTTGACTCAAATTAAGTTAAGAACTTCTGCCAATGGAGTAAGAAAATTTTACTTGGTAAGATTCTTGAAA